TATTATATTATATTATATTATATTATATTATATTATAATAGTTTACTTTATTTTATTTTATTTTGCATTATATATTATTTTACGTTATTTTATTTTATGTTATGTTATGTTATTTTATGTTATGCTGTGAAATATCAAACTGCGTTGTATTTTTTGATATTATATCATCGTACATTGTGAGGTTCTGGGTTGTATTGTTGTGTTATATTTGAGGTAGAGTAGAGTTTTTAAAGTGTTATGCCCACATTTTCTTGGGCCAGTGTGTACATGACTGCTTTAAATGAAACAAATTATTTCACGCTTGTCGAGCTCGTAACAAATTTGTGAGAGTTATAAGGATTTAGTTTTTGAAATAAGAGAAATTTTTTGTTTATTTTAATTTATGTCTCTTCATTTGCTTTACTTATTCATTTATTTTTGATTGGAATGAACAGTAAAATTTTTGCGAAATTGAAGAAAAAAAAAGAAACTAAAAAATTTGTTTTCTTTTTAACGATCTTATCGACTGTTGCTTTATAAAAAATTAATTATAAAGCGGATAGGTAGAATGTGGTGAAAAAACTGGAAAAAGAAGCAAATAAACGTTGTGAGTGAACCGCACTTGGGAAGTTTACGTTTGGATGGATTGGCTAGGAGGGAGCGGAAACGCAATTATGAAGGCGCCCTCTGGTTGTCGTGGTCGTTCAAACCACTGCCATATTTCTGCTGTTCAATTGCAGGAGGACGAAGCTGGGAAGGAGAGGGAGGTGAGATTTAAGAGAGCAATACTATCGGACTTCGCGGTCGTTGTAAAGGTTACTACTCGTTTCTTGGTTGATTAGGTGCGCTAAATTGATTTCATTGCTGAGTTGCCACCTTTTTAGCAAATGAAGACTGTTGTATTTGTGTCCTGTAGTTATGGTGGTATTGCAGTGGCCAAATTGAGCGCTGTGTAATACTGTCGAATATGCATGAAGGAGGTGAAAAGGAGGAGAGAGAGGGGAGGATGGTTGTTGGGTATGTAGAGTGTGTTTGGAAGCAGAAGAGAGCAGTGATTCTGCTTCAGGTTTTATACTCGCACGACTCCGATACGCAGTGTATCTGCAGGAGGGAGAAAGCAGTTTAAACAACTAGCTGGACGGACATAATGCTGTGAGATGTTGGAATTGGAATTGGTATAGCCTGTTAAGGTAAAAAAAGCCCTTTTTGGATTAATTTTTTTTGAAGTTTTCTCTTCTCTGCTTTTTTTTTTTTGTTTTTGTTTCTACTTTTGCACCAAATTTGTTTTCCTTTAACGCTTGTGGCACTTTTTTAAAATCATACTTTTTAGGCTTAAAATCAGAATATTTCTTTGATTGGGAAAAATTTTTTTTCATAGATTTCTTTTTTTTTTTCTTGTTGGATATGCCTGAGCCATAGATTTTCGTCCGCTTTCCATCTCATTTTTTGCGCTAAATTTTTGCAAATTTTGTTTTTAGCGGTTTCAGAAAGTGATTTGCTGTTGCTGGCAAATCGAATTCTAAAAAATGAAGCAAAAAAAAAAATGAAAAAGTGTCCATGTTTGGCAACAGCTGAAGATTTGCTAATTCTCTTCAACAAATCGGAAAACGTATATTAACGAGTTGCATACTAAGATTGCAGGGGGAAAAATTAGAAGAAAAGGAAGGAAAAGAGAGTGTACTGCTATTATTAACGGCTTATGGGTAAAAGGTTTAAAGAAGTCTTAGTCGACGAAAAATAGGGCAAGGGGAACAAAAAGAAGTTCTTTTTGAGAAATTCTTGGACATCTGCTAGAGCATTATTCATCAGAATTTTCAGGGAGAGAATGATTGGGGAAGAGAAGGAAAAGTGGAGAAAAATTGATACAGAAGACTTATAGATTCGTATTTTTTTATGGCAGTTATGCATAGATTCTTATTTAGACCATAGAAGAATTCTCCAGTTTCAATTTATCAACTTTGTTAAGGGATTAGCAGAAAAGGGTTTGTATGGGAGGGAGGAGGGTCGAGAATAAAATTGGCCTAAATGTGAAGTTTGTAGGAAATATAAAAGGCTTTCGAGTAACTTGGTCATTTAGTCGACGACAGCGGTACTTCGTGGTCTAAAACGGAGCAGTTGGGAAGATGACAGTAACAACTGCAGTATCTCAGCACTGTTATACGTTATTTCTTTGTTATTGTTTATAATCCATACGCTTATCATGATGGTTATTTTTTTTTTTTCTTTGCTTTTACTTGAACCAGCAAAAACCGAAAAGATTTTTGTGAGCGGTGTAAGAAATCTAGGTTTCCTGAACAAGTTTTATCTGTGACTGTTTTGTTCTTCTAAAAATATAGTTCTTGGAAGCAGGGGAAGAAAATGAAGACAACTTTTTCTTGTTGTGCAAGTGTCTAATTTTCAGAATTTTTTAATTATTTCCTGTACAACAGGCGAACCTGGATTTGGTTCTCCTCCTGCTGAAACTTCTGTACTAAGTCAGGCATCTGTTTAAGATGGAATCAGCAAAGGCTTGGTAGGGTTATAGGAGTGGCGATAAAATTAGAGATCACTGTTGGATTGATTCAAATGTATTTTAGGCGGTTGCCATTAATAGATCTTATTTAAGTGCTAATGAACTGGAAGGGTTTGTCAAAGAAGCAGAAGTTGCTGTTATGTGCTGTTCATTTGTTCATTTTTTTGCTAATGCCGACGGCACTTTCGACTGGGTAATCAAAGATTATGATTTTATCATTACCAAAAACAGTGCTCTATTCGTGTCATCCTTCGTATCTGCTTTTTTTTTTTCATTGCTACAAGCTGCTGTTTATCATAAACCTGAAAGACAGATTTTTCTGGTAAGTTTCTCTAGTCAAGGCCAAAATTTTTTGTCTCTAACACCACATCAAAGGCTCTAAGAGGCATCACCATCATCATTTCTTGCATTTCGGTTGCGTCTGTCTCCCCCATCAAATGAACGAACACAAGTCATTCAGCAAAAACGGGAAGCCGACTGAGAAGCGCCTACGTCAGCGGCTGTCTCCCGTCGTCGTCTTCCTTTTCTCTTCGATCTATTTGCACCGAGGCCGTTTCTCTTGCCGGCCCATTAGTCTCTGCCTCTCTCGCTGTCTCCGTACAGCCCCTTGCCTTCATTCCCTCACTGTTACCCTTACCCCTCACAGGGCGGCAGCAGTAGTAGTAGCAACTGCAGCAGCAATAACAGCAACAACAGCAGTCCTTATTTAGGCAATCCACAATGTTGCGGATGTTACACAGGTTACAAGGGGAAAGGACTTTTCCTCAGACACCGTTTGATTAATTGTTTGGGAAACAAAACGATCTTGTCTTTGCCACAATCTTGTCAGTGTGCGTATATATATGTATCTGTGGTTATGTCTGTGTTTGTTTGTTTGTTTTCACGTTTGTGTGTTGGTATGTTGTTCTCTGTATCCGTGTGTATCTGCCTCCCAATTCATCAGAGTGCAGTGATCGGGATGTTCGCTGGGTTTTTTTTTTTTTTCGAAATTTGATGAATCTGTGACGATGCTGTTGTCTTTTTTCTCCTTCCTTTCCTTCCTTTCCATCTTTTTTTTTTTCGCGGTTGTTGTGTCCTAATCTTGTTCTTCAACATTTTTGATGTCCAAGTTGATTCTGTCGTACAAAAATGAACTGGTTAAGTGGCATTTTGGGCCTTTTCTATTATTTACCTTCATTTTCTTCTGAAGTGTGTATAAAATCTTCCATTTATTGCAGAAGTTCCTGAACTAATTTTTTATTCCACTTTTTTTTATTGTTACTTTCATGCTGCACTTTTTCCATGTCATTTTTATAATAATACTAATTGTAGATATGTAAAATAGATGTGTGGAAAAACGAGCAAAGTTGCAGCAGACAGAAGACATCAGTGGATTAGTTAGTTAGTCGGTTGAACGGGCAAGGCAGAGGAGATGGGCGAAGCACAAGCAGTAATTTTTGATCATTGAATTCGGAACAACAGCGGCGAAGGGAGGAAAAATGGGGCAAAAAAGCTGGCCCAAAGTGCTTCTTAAAAAAAAAAAAAGTTTTCTTTTTCATCTATTTATACACATGCTGTACTACAGCTTTAGAGTGATTCTACAACTGCAGTGGTTGGCATCAGAAACTTATTTTTTACAGCACAGAAAATTTTTTTTGTATTAATATTGCTGTATTTTTCGTCGGCATTCCAGATGGTCATTGTATCGAACAGGTTGCTTGTAAGGGTTTAGTGGATGATATTTCTGATCTGATGTGCTTCGTTCAGTTTCTTTTTTTTTCCTTAGCTCTTTAAATTTGTCTGCTTGGTAAGTCGATTCGTTCATATGGCAACCGAGATGCTTGTACGTTCTATTGATGAGTAGTGTAGCATCACACAGTTCAAGCGAAATCTTAACCTTCCACTTTATTTTGTCTGTAATGTTTTCGAATATATCAGAATTTTTTGCTGAAGCAGCCACGGCAGCAACAACAACAACAGCGTCACCAGCAATGGAACAGTTTCTTTACTAACGGTGCAAACACTCACTCACTCGTAGCAGCATGTTTTTTTTTTTTTTTTTT